GGCACGGGAACGGGAGCTACAACGGGTATGTGCAATGGGGAATATGACACTCACTAAACACGGCGCACTTGGCATCCTTCTGGCGAGCGTGGATGACATGCAGCCCATCTGGTGTCATTTCGTCCTCCTCTCCCACGCCCACCTGCCGTCGCCGCCTTTTCTTCCTGTTCAGTGGCTTAACCAGATGGGTGTAGTTGGTGGACACGATCACGCCGGTCTGCAGATTAAGAATTGATAATAATAATTTGATAATATCACTAATAATTTCATTTCATTCCATTTGTTACAATTTTTATTCTTGGTGTAATGGGCTGTCTGTTCATTTTTGCATCTAAATTACCCTGTGTGTGCAAGGAATGGCACGGATACGTAAAGGCGGATACGTAGATAAACGAATGAAGACATGTATCAGCAAATGCGGATAGTATTGGGGCAAAAAAGGGGTCAAAAAGAGACATGAAAGGAGAAGGCAACAATCGAATTTCATTAACATGGATTACAATACCCGTCTTGAGTGAGATCTTTCAATCAATGAAAGAACTGGTCAACGGGGGGAGGCAGTCAGTTGGTTCAATGGATAGACAACAGTGAACGTTTTCTCTTTCCCTCTCCCTCTGGCTTTGCCTCTCCCTCTTCCTCTACCTATCTTTCCCTATCTCCATCTCTCTATCTCTCTCCTCCTTCCTCTCTATTCCCCAATAAATTCGTAAATGACGTCAGAGTGAATCGTCACTTGCACAAGTATGACATCATCGGCTGCTGGTATTCAGGAGTTTTCTTTTGTTTCCGTTAACAAAAAAACAACAACAAAAAGAGGAAAACAGAAAGAGGGAAAGTAAGAAAAACTAAAAGATAAAAAAGCTAACAATGACGAAACACCATTCAGTTGGAAACTTGCTATGGTATTAGTGTTTACACTTATTTGAAATTATATATATATATATATATATATATATATATATATATATATGTGTGTGTGTGTGTGTGTGTGTGTATGTGTGTGTGTGATATATATGATATATAGATATAGATATACAAATATATACATATATATATATATATATATATATATATATATATATGTATATATATATATGATATATATACAGAAAAACCCACAACGCTCAAACTTTGTTTACCATTCATGTGTAAATATATATATATATATATATATATATATATATATATATATATATGAATATATATATATATATATATATATATACATATATATATATATATATATATATATATATATATATATATACACACACATATATATACATGCACGCACACACACACACTCACACACATATGTGTGTGTATATATAAAAATGTATATATATATATATATATATATATATATATATATATATATGTGTGTGTGTGTGTGTGTGTGTGTGTGTGTGTGTGTGCGCCCGCGCGCGTGTGTGTGTGTGTGCGTGTATGTATATAAGTGAATGTATATGTATGTAAGCATATCTATTCATCAGTCTGTCCATATATATGTATATAAACATTATCTATCTGCCTATATCTGTGTATATATATATATATACATACATATGTATGTATATATATATATATATATATATATATATAAATATTTATATATGTATGTATGTATATACATACATGCACACACACACACACACACACACACACACACACACACACACACACACACATATATATATATATATATGTATGTGTGTGTATGTGTGCACACAAACAAACACACACACACACACACACACACACACACACACACACATATATATATATATATATATATATATATATATATATGTATATACATATATATGTGTGTGTGTGTGTGCGTGTATGTATATATGTATATGTATATGCTTGTAAGCATATATATTCATCAACCTATCTATATAAACATATGTATATAAACACTATCTATCTAACCTATATCTGTCTATATATATACATATGTATGTATGTATAGATATATATATATATGTATATATATTTCATATGAGTGTGTGCGTGTATATATATATATATATATATATATATATATATATATATATATATATGTGTTTGTGTGGGGGTGTGTGTCTATCTATGTAACTATCTTTCCATCTATCTATTTCGTTATCTATATCTATACTCATGTGTGTATGTGACTTTTTTTCCCAATGCATAGAATGAATTCCAGAGCGTCACAATGGAGCAAGAAACTCCGCCCTTCACACCAAGCCACGCCCACCTTCTTCCCAGTATATAAAGGCTGTTGCAGAGTTCAGTACCAGTATCACCTACAACACTCATCACAATGTTCAAGGTATGAAAATAACTAAACGTATCGGAATGTAATTACATATAATGATTTTATATCATGAGCTACCGGACATAGCTAGAAAGTTATTACACAGACTTAAGGCAGGAATAAAAATCAGATTAGTGGGGTAATTACAGATGGATAAAAGCTCGTTTGCGATTTTATAATCTGTGATTCCTAATGGAGGTAAAAGATTAGCAGAAGGAGCAGTTGTAGAGTAGTAGTGGTAGTTGAAGTAGTAGTAATGATTGTTGATATTAATTGTTCTAATAATGGGCCTAATGATGATAATGATGATGATGACGAAGAGGATGATGATGATGATGACGATGATGATGATGATGAGGAGGAGGAGGAGGATGGTGATAATAATAATAGTAATCACTATAATCATAATTACAATAATAATAATAACAACAACTATAATAGCTATAACAATGATGATATTATTAGGGTAACAATTGTAATGATAATTATGATGAAAACATGATAAAGGCGATAAAAAGAGCAACAACAAATCTAAGAATGACATTAAATATAGCGATAATAATATGCAAACTTCCAGCTGTTCGTCCTCCTCGCCTTGGTCGCCGTGGCCGCCGCCATGCCAGGCTTCCTCGGAGGCGCCGGATACGGAGGTGGATTTGGTGGACACGGAGGAAGTGGATACGGAGGGGGAAGCTTCGGCGGATTCAGCGGTGGACACGGAGGCGGATTCGGTGGATATGGGGGCGGTTTCGGTGGATTCAGCGGCGGATTCGGGGGACACAGGGGAGGTTTGTGAGATCTGTTTCCATTGGCAACGTCTTGTAGTGCGACTATTTATGTCTTTGATGAATTATATTAAGTTGGATTTGAATTAATCATCAGATGATCAAATTTTGTTAAGAATTGTGTATCTAGATCGAGCTATGCATTTCTTATCCTTTTTCTTTTTCTCAGGATACGGACGTTAAAAGCTGTTCCAACGAAATGGCTTGTAAGTCAACTGAACGAAACTGAGAAATTTCCACAGAATAAAATAGATGGAATAAAAAAAATACTTTTCTTATAACCTTTTCACATTTACGTATATATAGATATATGGCACTGAAATATACTATGTATGATATAAGTGGCAAGAACAAGCATACATTAGCGAGATGAAAAGGTGCAGTCGAAACTTGTCAGACATGTTTCGAATCCTGACTGAAACACTCGAAGAATGTAAATAATGTATCTATCTATGTAGGTGTGTGATATGTTGTGCAAGAAAGAAGTGACCTATAATGTCAAAGAACAAAACACCTTAGCAAGATGTACATTTACGGTCAAAAATGAATGTCGTCTCTGAATAATGTGATTCTTTGTTCAAGTTTGGAGAGTTTAGAAGCTTCATTCGAACTTTGCTTGAGACTCCTAAAAACAATTAAAACAAGCTAAAATCAAGTAGATATTTGACATGTCAAAGAAATCATACCAAAACGCGACCTTCAGAACTGTTCATAGAAATGTTTAGATGGAATAATAATTATTAGAATTTCATAGGAACTGCCCGCAGTTTAATTAAACTAAACAAGACAAAATCATATTCGTTATGAATGAATGAATAAAATCAATAATCAAAGCTTTCAAACATTTGAGTTATATAAAAAAAAAAAAAAAAAAAAAACAGTTATGATAGTAATGAAATGTATGCACCGTCGAGTGAATGCCGAGTGAGTTATTCCGAAAAAAAATGTTTTACGCACTTTCTTGTGAATGTTTCATGTATGCAATTTGTGCCGAAATAATCTAAATACTGCTGTATTACATTAAAAGATTATTGGCAATAATAACATATAAAGATATTAAGAGCATTATTCATGATGAAATCAAAAAAAAAAAAAAAGTGATGACAATAATCTCGAAAATAAATAAAAAATCTAGATCTGTAGGTATATCTATGTATGTCTGTGAACGTACTGTATGTACAAATGCGTTTATATATATATAGATAGATAGATAGATAGATAGATAGATAGATAGACAGATATCGACATATGTATATATGTGTGTGTGTGTGTGCATGTCTGTGTGTCTGTGAATGTTTGTATGTTTGTATGTGTAGAGGCATGTTTGTATTTTTCTTTAGTTATATATATGTCCTATATATAAGTTTATTTATATATGCATGTTTGTATGTATGGATATATGATTATATCTGTGATTTTATCTAATTATATGCATATATATATATATATATATATATATATATATATATATATATATATATATATATATATTTGTATGTGAGTATGTATGATTGTATGGACGTATTATGCGTGCATATATCTATCGATATAGATATATTTATGCTGAGAAGTAATCTACTTAAGACATATACATGTGTGTGTATGTGTATACATGTTTATATATAGAGACACATATGTACATTTATATGAATATATATATATATATATATATATATATATATATATATATATATATATACAAATACACACACACACACACACACACACACACACACACACACACATATATATATATATATATATATATATATATATATATATGTGTGTGTGTGTGTGTGTGTGTGTGTGTGTGTGTGTGTGTGTGTTTGTATTATATATATGTGTATATATATGTATGTATTTATGCATGTTATATATGTATACATATATATACATATGCATATGCATATATATACATATATATGTATATATTCACTAATATATACATGTACATAATATATACATATATAAACATAATATATGTACATACACACATATATATACACATGTATGTATAACAAACATATACACACTTTATATATACATATATGTGAATACACATAGATATACATATACATAGAGACATATATGTATATACATGTATATACATATGTGTGTGTGTGTCTAAGTGAATAAACACTATATCGAGATCACTATTATGACACTATGTGTGTATGTATATATATATATATATATATATATATATATATATATATATATGTATATATATATAACTGCCGCGATAGCTCAGTGGTTAGAGCACTGGACTCCGACCCTCGTGGTCCCGGGTTCAATTCCCCGTCGCGGCAGTCGTAAAAAATGCCTGCGCTCTGACTGCTGACTCGAGCCCGAGAAAACGACATATCGGCTTGAGAAGTCAAACGCAGGTGTCGTATGGGAAGTCACCGCCGTGGCACAGGTGTTAACGCGCCGAACCGCGGTTGATTAGGAAGGGCATTCAATCAGGCAAGGGTGACACTGCCATATAACCTCTCGATACTGAATTGAGAGAGGCCGATTTCCTGCAGTGGAATGAATGGCTGTTGAAAGAAAAAAAATTACACACTCATATAATATATATATATATATATATATATATATATATATATATATATATATATATATATGCGTGTACCTGCATACACAAATACACACACACACATATATATGTATATATATATATATATATATATATATATATTATATGAGTGTGCGCGTGTATATATGTGTGTGTGTGTGTGTTTTTGCGAGTGTGTGCGTCTATCTATGTAACTATCTTTCCATCTATCTATTTCGTTATCTATATCTATACTTATGTGTATGTGTATGTGACTTTTTTTCCCAATGCATAGAATAAATTCCAGAGCGTGACAATGGAGCAAGAAACCCCGCCCTTCACACCAAGCCCCGCCCACCTTCTTCCCAGTATATAAAGGCTGTTGCAGAGTTTAGCACCAGTATCACCTACAAGACTCATCACAATGTTCAAGGTATGAAAATAACTGACGTATCGGAATGTAATTACATATAATGATTTTATATCATGAGCTACTAGACATAGCTAGAAAGTTATTACACAGACTTAAGGCAGGAATAAAAATCAGATTAGTGGGGTAATTACAGATGGGTAAAAGCTCGTTAGCGATTTTATAATCAGTGATTCCTAATGGAGATATGAGATTAGCAGAAAAAAAAACAGTGGTAGAGTAGTAGTAGAAGTAGTAGTAATGATTGTTGATATCAATTGTTCTAATAATGGGCCTAATGATGATGATGATGATGATGATGATAATGAGGAGGAGGTGGAGGAGGATGGTGATATTTATAATAATAATCATTATAATCATTACAATAATAATAATTATTATTATTATTATTATTACAATAGCAATAACGATAATGATATTATTACGGCACCGATTGTAATGATAAATATGATGAAAAATATGATGATGGCGATAAAAATAGCAACGACAAAGCTAAGAATGACATAAAATTTAACGATCATAATAAGCAAACTTCCAGCTGTTCGTCCTCTTCGCCTTGGTCGCCGTGGCCGCCGCCATGCCAGGCTTCCTCGGAGGCGCCGGATACGGAGGTGGATTTGGTGGACACGGAGGAAGTGGATACGGAGGGGGAAGCTTCGGTGGATTCAGCGGTGGACACGGAGGCGGATTCGGTGGATATGGGGGCGGTTTCGGTGGATTCAGCGGCGGATTCGGGGGACACAGGGGAGGTTTGTGAGATCTATTTCCATTGGCAACGTCTTGTAGTGCGACTATTTAGTTGGATTTGAATTAATCATCAGATGATCAATTTTTTTTTTTTTTTATCATTTAGTTAATAATTGTATATCTAGATCGAGCTTTTCCTCCTCCAAAAATGTAACAAATGTATGTATTTCATTTTTTCTTGTTTTCAGGATACGGACGTTAAAAACTGTTCCAACGAAATGGCTTGTAAGTCAACTGAACGAAACTTCTGAGAAATTTCCATTGAATAAAATAGATGGAAAAAAGAAATACTTTTCTTATAACCTTTTCACATTTATGCACAAAAACACATATACCACTGAAATATACTATGTATGAAAGAAGTGGCATACAATGTTTAAGAAAATGCATATAATCCCGAGATGTAAAGGTACGGTCGAAACTCATCAAAAATGTTTCGAATCCTGTCTGAAACACTCGAAGAATGTAAATATTGCAAGAAGGAAGTGGCTTATAATGTTAAAGAACAAAACACATTTGCGAGATGTACATTTATAATCAAAGCTGAATGTCTGAATAATGTGACTCTTTACTCAAGTTCGTACAGTTTCGAAGCTTCATTCGATCTTTGCTCGAGACTGTACAAGACAGCTAAAAACAAGATATTTAACCTGTCAAAGAAATCATACCAAAAAGCGACCTTCGAAACTGGTCATAGCAATGTTTAGATGAACTTTGGATTGTTAGAATCTCATGGGAACTGCGCGCACTTTAAGCAAGAGATGATTATCTTCTGCATGAGTGGATGAATAAAGTTAATAACAGCTTTTAAACATTTGAGTCATCCCCCCCACACAAAAAAATGTATGCATTTTTACGACCCACGTTCTTAGTGGTTATTACACAACCACCTAGTTTGAAGCGCCTTGCATAGACACTTTAGACCCGACTGTTCACTCTCTTCCACGGGCGCCACTCCTCCACTTAAGACCGCTGTTGTTGTTTTGTTTTGTAAATTTCTCAGGTTTGTTTTGCCTTTGTTAGGATTAGGGTTAAAGTTTGCAATATTATGTAGACTTTAAATAGGTAGGATTGGTGATGGTTTCTCTTTGTAAATATATTTTGTAAGTAAATAAGCAGTTACGTGTGTTGTCTACTTTATTCTTTCTTTCGAATATAGTAAAATGAATTTATTGAATAAACGAGTTGCAGTTGAATTAAGTTCTGAAGAACATTGACATAACGAATGAGACATATATTCTATTACATAAATATACTTATCAAGTGATTATAAGATGCTTAAATTACAGTTGAAATAACTAAAATCATAATGGAAACGTCATCTAAGAAAAGAAAAAAGGATATAATAACGAGATACGGAAACCTGCTGAGACCTAATGATTCTGCATTCTGAACAAACTTTATCTACGACGGGAGTTGAGCTGTTTCATGAGGCCAAATTGTACCGGAATAGCGCAGACATTGACATACTGAATTAAATTATTGAAAATATCTTTTACGAAGTATTATGTATAGAAGTGCCATTATTACACAAGAGTTATTCATGAGAAGCACAATAACTCTGAGGGTATCATATTGATGGTGAAAGAAATAATGATGAAAGTGATCCCGAGAATATAACATAAAAAAATCTGTCTGTATGTCTGTATGTAAGGACCGTATGTATAAATGTATGTTTTTATTTGTGCTTCTGTGTATATGTATGTATATTTATATCTATATCTATATACATACATATATGTATATATTTTTATATGTGTATGTATAAGTATGTTCGTCAGTATAAATGTGTTTGTATTTTTTTTTTTACATATATATGTACAGATATGTGTGTTTGCATTTGTATATGGATGTATTATATATGTATATGCATGCATACATATATGTATATATACATGCATGTGTATATATATATATATATATATATATATATATATATATATATATATATGTGTGTGTGTGTGTGTGTGTGTGTGTGTGTGCATGAATGTATATGTGTATTATGTATCTATATCAACATAGCACATAGACAGACAAATAATCTACTTAATATAAAACATATATATAGACACACTTATACATGTATATATGTATATATATATATATATATATATATATATATATATATATATATGTGTGTGTGTGTGTGTGTGTGTGTGTGTGTGTGTGTATACATACATCTGTGTGTGTGTTTATATATATGCATATGAATATATATATATATATATATATATATATATATATATATATATATATATATATATATATTATATATACACATATATATGTATATATATGATTATGTATATACATATATGATATACATATATGTATACTTACATACATATATATATATATATATATATATACATACATGTATACATGAATATATACTTCTACACACACACGCATATATATGTGTGTGCGTGTGTGAAATTATATGGACATATATGTATATATATATATTTTTTTTTTCTTATATATGTATGTATATAGATATAGATGGATATTTAGCATAGATACATACACACACATGTATATGTATAGATATACATACATATGTATATATGTATATATATTTTTTTATGTGTGTGTGTGTGTGTGTAAACACTGTGTCGAGATATCACTACAGATCTGGTTAAAGAAAATCTGGCTCTAGCCATCCCTTTCACTAAGCCACGCCCATCTTTTTCACGGCATAAATAAGGCCTGTCACTGAATTCGGCATCGCATTCACCAACCGAATTTCCCAAGATGTTCAAGGTACAGATCTAGTTTAAGTGTAAATGGTATTTTTGCTTACTTATATTTTAAAACTTTCATAAAAAAAATATATATTTATATATTTTCTACGTAGAAATAGAACATATTGAAATACCTTCACGAAATTAGTTTCTACAAAATTTCCTCTGATTGGATAATAGCCTGGAGTTTGATTAAACGATAATTATAATGTGAAACTGTTTAAAATCCATTAGAATGTAAGCAGTGGTGATAACAGCACTAAAAAGATAAGAATTGCAAAGCCAGATACTAAATCTTTCCAGCTGGTCGTCTTCCACGCCGCCGCTTCAAAAACAATAACAATAATGATAATAATAATAGAATATCAATAATAATGATAATGAAACAAATAATGATAAAAACAGTAACAACAAAACTAAGAATCAAATTTAACTATGATTCTATGTAAACTTCCAGCTGTTGGTCCTCCTCGCCGTGGTCGCCGTGGCCGCCGCCATGCCAGGCTTCCTCGGAGGCGCCGGATACGGAGGTGGATTTGGTGGACACGGAGGAAGTGGATACGGAGGAAGTGGATACGGAGGGGGAAGCTTCGGTGGATTCAGCGGTGGACACGGAGGCGGATTCGGCGGATATGGGGGCGGTTTCGGTGGATTCAGCGGCGGATTCGGGGGACACAGGGGAGGTTTGTGAGATCTATATCCATTGGCAAAATCTTGCAGTGTGACTATTTATGTTTTTGAAAATTATATTAAGATGGATAATAGTACACCTAGATCGAAGTTTTCCTCCTCTTTAAATTTAACAATTGTATGTATTTCATAAAATCAACACAACGGATAAAACTTCTAACCTTTTTCTTATTCTCAGGATACGGACGTTAAAAGCTGGTCCAACGAAATGTCTTGTAAGTCATCTGAACGAAACTTCTGAGAAATCTCCATTGAATAAAATGTAATAAAAATAATGTAATAAGAATACTTTCCTTATAACCTTTTCACATTTATGAACATAAAGACATATACCACTAAAATACACTATGTATGAAAGAATTGGATTACAATGTTAAAGAATAAGTATACATTACCGTGACGTAAAGGTACGGTCGAATCTCGTCAAACATGTTCCAAATACTGTTTGAAACACTATCTGTATCTATAGGTGTGCACTATGCTGTGCAAGAATGAAGTGGCTTATATTGTCAAAGAAAAGACATATTACCCAGATATGCATTTACTGTTTCGAATTTCGTCTCGAACACCAGAATAATCTGATTTTTATTCAGGTTCGGAGAGTTTCGAGGCTTCATTCAAACTTTGCTCGAGGCTGTACATGACAACTAAAAACAATTAGATATTTAACTAGGTTTTCAAAGAAGTAATAACAAAAAGCAACCTTCGGAACTAGCCACAGCAATGTTTAAATAGACTATTGATTATAAGAATTTCATAGGAACTGCCCGTGCTTTAACCAAGATATGATTATCTTCGGTATGAGTGAAGGAACAAAATTAATAATCGAAGCTTTCAAACATTTGAGTTAATCCAAAAAATAAATAAAATAAAATGTATCTACCGTCAAGTGAATGTTTCATGTGTACGTTTTGTACCTAAACAGCTTAATACTTAATTCATTTATTATTGAAAATACCTTTTATGAAACATTATGTATTGATGTCAGTATCATTATTATACAACAGATAATGATGAGAATCGTAATGATGGCAATGATCTTTTTTATGGGTGTGTATATATATACATATATCTTATATGTATGTATGTATATGTATGTTCGTATGTATAAATGTATGTTTTTTTTTTTCTTTTTTTTTATTTATGTACGTATATGTGTATATTTGTATATGTGTATGCATGTATGTATGCAGTATATGTATATGCATACATACATGTATGTATATATGCATGGATTCATATATATGTGTATGAATGTATATATGTATTATGTATCTATATCAACCTCCACAGAGACTGATAAGTAATCTACTTAAAATGTAATATGTGTGTGTGTGTACGTTTGTGAGTGTGTTTGTTTCTGTTTATTTATTTATGTATATATATATATATATTTACATATATGTATAGTGTTTGTGTGTGTGTTCATATTTATATATTCATATATATAAATACATATATATACATATATATGTACATTAATAATATTATGCATATACATATATATATATATGTTTATTATTATTGTTATTATATATATATATATATATATATGTGTGTGTGTGTGTGTGTGTGTATGCTTTTGCATATACATAGATACATATATATATGTATACCTAAACACACACAATATATATATATATATATATATATATATATATATAAATGTGTGTATACATGAATATATACACACACACACACATATATATATATATATATATATATATATATATATATGTATGTATATACAAATATATACTCATATATGTATATAGATATAGATATTTAGTAGAGATACATATATACATACATACACACACATATCTATGTGTGTGTGTATATGTGAGTGTGTGTGAACACTGTATCAAGATCACTACAGATTTAATCAAATAAAATCTGGCTCTAGCCATCCCTTTCACTAAGCCACGCCCATCTTTTCACGGCATAAATAAGGACTGTCGGTGAATTCGGCATCGCATTCAACTAAATTTCCCAAGATGTTCAAGGTACAGATCTAGTTGTAAATAGTCTTTTTGCTTATTCATATCTTAAGACGTTCATAAAAAGATATTTATATATTTTCGAAGTAGAATTACAACATATTGAAATACCTTCACGAAATTAGTTTCTATATGTACCACAAAATTTCCTCTGATTAGATAAAAGCCCGGAGAAAAAATTAAACGATAATTATAATGATAAATCAATTAGAATGTGAGCAGTCTTCAAAAACAATAACAATAATGATAATACTAATAATGATAATAATGGTAATGATATAAATAATGATAAATATAACAAAACTAAGAATGATATCAAATTTAACGATAATAATATGCAAACTTCCAGCTGTTCGTCCTCCTCGCCGTGGTCGTCGTGGCCGCCGCCATGCCAGGCTTCCTCGGAGGCGCCGGATACGGAGGTGGATTTGGTGGATACGGAGGAAGTGGATACGGAGGGGGAAGCTTCGGTGGATTCAGCGGCGGATACGGAGGCGGATTCGGTGGATATGGGGGCGGTTTCGGTGGATTCAGCGGTGGATTCGGGGGACACAGGGGAGGTTTGTGAGATATTTCCATAGCTAACTTGTAGTGCGACTATTTATGTCTTTGATAAATGATATTAAGGTGGATTTTTATTAATCATCAGATATGATCAGATTCCTTTTAAATAATGAAATGATAATTTTGTTAATAATGGTATATCTAGGTCTAGTTTTTCCTCTCTACATTTAACAAATATATGCATTTCATAACATCTATACAACGGATAACAACTTCTTGTTTTTCTTATACTCAGGATACGGACGTTAAAAGCTGAATCAACGATATGGTTTGTAAGTCTACATATATTGAAACTTTTCAGAAATTTCTACTGAATAAAATATGTGTAATGAAAAAATACTTTTCTTAAAACCTTTTCACATTTATAAATATGAGTTCTGTCCGGCAACGCAGATTAGACATATACCACTGAAATGTGTATGAAAGAAGAGGCCCGCAAAGAACAAGTATACATTACCGAGATGTAAAGGTGCGGTCGAAACATGTTTCGAATACTGTCTCAATCCCTCGAATAATGTAAATAATCGATCTATATACATATATATATATATATATATATATATATATATATATATATAATAATGTAATATACTGTGCAAGAAGGAAGAGGTTTATAATGCTAGAAAAAAACACATTAGGGAGACGTAGATTTATGATCAAAACTGTTTTGAATTTCGTCTCGAACACCAGAATAATGTGATTCCTTGTTTTTAGGTTCGGAGAGTTTCGAAGTTTTATTCACGACACGAACTTTGCTCGAGACTGTACAAGACAGCTAAAAGCAATTAAAGATTTAATATGTAAAAAAAAATCATACCAAAAAGCGACCATAGGAACTGGTCATAGAAATGTTTAGGACTAATGATTATAAAAATTTCATTGGAACTGCCCGCGCTTTAAGCAACATATGTTTATCTTCGTTATGAATGAGACTAATAATCGAAGCTTTCATACATTTGAGTTATTTCAGAAATAAAAAAAAAAGTATTATACACCGGCGAATGAATGTTTCATGTGTGCAAATTTCACCGGAATAGCGCAAATATTGTTGTACTGAATTAAGTGATTATTGAGAATACCTAATATGAAGTATCGTCAATACTGCACAATAGATGATGCTGATAATCATAATGACAATGGAGATATTGAGAGTATTATTAACGATGATATAAAAAAAATAATGACAATGATCTAGAAAATAAACAAGATTATCTATATCTATCTTGGAATGTAAAAATGTATGCTTACGCGCACACATACATATATATGTGTGTGTGTGTGTGTTTGTATGTTTGTATGCATTTGTGTGCGTGTGTGTTTGTATGTTTGTATATATATGTGTGTGTGAGTGAGCGTGTTCAACTTAATGAACACCCCTAAGTCGAATTAGAATTAGAATATATTGAAATACCTTCATGAACCTTTTAACTCCATAATCTATTCTGCAAGGATCATATAATCGTCTGAAGATAAAATAAACGATGATTATAATTGATGCACATTTACTTATACACATATATATGTGTATATGTTTACATATATAGGTGTATATGTATAGATGAATGTATTTATGTATATATATGTATGTGTGTGTACGTATATGTATATACATATATATACTTACATATAGGCATACACACACACACACACACACACACACATATATATATATATATATATATATATATATATATATATATATATATACATACAAATATACATGCATATATATATATATATATATATATATATATAATTGTATATATACATGTATATATACACACATAGATATGTAAATCTATATATACATATATATATAACAATCCTCCCTGACCTGGCCATGCCACGCGACCCACTAAAAGGAGTGTGCAACTAGGATCTAATTAGCTCCATAGACATTACCTATCTACTCATACATGAGTAATGATAGCGAGGTTTTACACACACTCCCCGTGGGCACTCGGTGGAAATTGATTTAGAAATTCGAAACCGAAGTCAGATATCTTGAGGTGTATATATATGAAAGATGGAATGATGCAATGCCGCATTGATATAGATATATAACAATCCTCCCTAACCTGACCTCGAACCTAGGTCACTCCGGGTATGAGACCGGAGGGCCAGTATATATATATATATATAGATATCAATGCGGCATTGCATCATTCCATCTTTCATATATATATATATATATATATATATATATATATATATATATATGCATATATATGTATATATATATATATATATATATATATATATATATATATATATATATATATATATATATGCATATATATGTGTATATATATATATATATATATATATATATATATGCATATATATGTATATATATATATATATATATATATATATATATATATATATATATATATATATGCATATATATGTGTATATATATATACACATATATACAGTATATGTATTTGCATACACACACACATATATACATATATATACATATATACAAATATATACGCACTTATATATGTACATATATGTCTATACATATACATATATATATATATATATATATATATATATATATATATATATATATATATATATATACATATATATATACATATATGTATGTATGTGTGTGTATTTGTGCTTGTGTGTTCGTATAGGCGTGTATAGTTGTGTGTGTGTGTCTGTGTATAAACACTATATCGCCTACAGATATCCATTACTGCCTTACTCATTCTAATGTTTAACTGAAACACATTGAAATCGTGCTAATGACGAAATTTCAGAGTTAAGAAAGAAAAACTGGTTTTAGACATCCTTTTCACTAAGCCACACCCACCTTCTTTCACGGTATATATAACGACTGTCGCTGAATATCGGCATCGCATTCAACCGAATTCCCCAAGATGTTCAAGGTACCGATCTAGTTTAAGTGTAAATGAGCTATTTGCTTATTTATATTTTCAGACGTTCAAGAAAAAAAAAATAAACTTTTCGAAGTAGAATTATAACATACTGAAGTACTTTCATGAACATAGAATTTCTTTATGAACTACAAAATTTATTCTACAGTTATTATATAATAGTTTGCAGATAAAATAAACGATAAATATAATATGTTTCACTTTAAAATCAATTAGAATATAAGCGACAGTGATAACAACACTAAAAAAAATGCTAAATCGTTCCAGACGCTTCAAAAACAATAACAATAATGATAATAATAATAGAATAACAATAATATTGATAACGATGATGAAACACATAATGATGAAAACAACAATAACAACAAAGCTAAGAATGCCATCAAATATAGCGATAATAATATGCAAACTTCCAGCTGTTCGTCCTCCTCGCCGTGGTCGCCGTGGCCGCCGCCATGCCAGGCTTCCTCGGAGGCGCCGGATACGGAGGTGGATTTGGTGGACACGGAGGAAGTGGATACGGAGGGGGAAGCTTCGGTGGATTCAGCGGTGGATACGGAGGCGGATTCGGTGGACACGGAGGCGGATTCGGCGGATATGGGGGAGGTTTCGGTGGATTCAGCGGCGGATTCGGGGGACACAGGGGAGGTTTGTATATTTTTTTCCCAGACATTTGAGAATGCATTTTTACATGTATGTCAAATGCATAGCTTATAGACAGTAAGATATAATCCTCCTTAATAAATAATAGTGTACATATCTTTACAGAGAACAATGACAAACCTGCAATACTATTAATCATATAACGAGCACAACGAATTTTGAGAAAGTAGCTGTTAAAACATTTTTATTGCTTCTAATTCTATGCTTTGATTCTCGAGGTTATATCACATTTACTGTCCACAGGTTACGGGCGCTGAAGCCTGCATCAGATTTAAAATTTACTGAAAGGTACCGGAATATATGATCATAAATAAATTGAAAAGTTATTCCCTTGTTTTAAAAACCACGCTTCCTAAAACAGTATTCTCTACCCAACATTTTAAAACGCAGTAACTAAAACTTCTTGCCGAACATTTCTGTTCCTTTTCTGACTTCTGATGGTGATGATGATGATGATGAGGAGGAGGAGGATAGTGGTGATAACGATGAAGATGATGATGGCGATGGTGATGAGGAGGAGAAGGAGGAGGAGGAGGATAGTGATGATAGTGAGGATGGTGTCACTATCAGTGATGTGTGTGAAAAAAAATTCTGATTGTTTATGGTGCATCAATCCAAATATAAAATCTTAACCGGGGTTTACTGTTAACGTCTACCAAAACACATTTTCGTTTTTAGAAAAGTAAGAAAAATGCTAAAATACCTACTGTTGCCATCTATATATTTGTAACAGTAATAACAAATAACAACATATTATTCTTGCTCTTAGAATTTAAATCACACGAACCCAATATGTGATGTATAAGTAAGTTAATAATTCCGAACTAAGACTTTCAAAGAGATCTGTTCTTATCTCATCACTCTATGAAAAAACTGGGTATCTTGACCAGAGCTGAATTGGTATCTGACAGGCTTCAGGCAGACACGGCAACACGCGCCGCCCTTTCCGCTGTTGCCTGGTTACGCAGATCGAATGTTTGAAGGGAACGCCGTGTGCATGTGTCTATGAGTAGTGTGTGTGCTTGTGCACATATGTACATATATGTATATGTATATATATATATATATATATATATATATATATATATATATATATATATACATAT